CTAGACATGTTATTCTATTCCAATCTAATCTACTACAACCCTAACGCTTTTCACTAATCATATAAATTAATGAAGCATTGTGAACTAAAAGGTGAATCTTCTGTGTTGCGTAGTACGTTGTGTTGATTACTTTTGTGCCCCTTTCTGTAGTCATTTTATTTGGACACACAAGTTTCCTTACTTGTCATACGAAAAATCTTGGTATTTTTTCATTCATCAATCTAGGATTCGTCCTAATAAACTCGATTTTTGCATCATATGTGGTATCCTAATTCATTATTCTTTCTAGTGTAACAATGTGTATGTCAATAACGGATTCACAAAAAAGAGAATGCTCCTCACACTCAGGGAGTTGCTCTGATGCTACCCAAAAAGCACGTAAAAAACTTACAGGATGGGAATCTCATGGATCCAGAATCATCAAAGCATCCTTCAGAATAAAGAAGGAGAGAATCACAACGAATGTTATCCAATGTCATGCACCCACCAATGATAACAATGACGACGATAAATATCAGTTTTATGAGAGGCTGCAATTAATTATAGCGAAGTGTTTAAGAAACGACCTGACCATCCTGATGAGATACCTAAACGCCAAAGTTGGAATGGACAACGGATATGAAAATATTATGGGACGATATGGAATGACTAAGAGAAAGGAACGAGAATGGTGAGATATTTGCAAATCTATGTGCATTCAACAAAATAGTTATAGACGGGACTATGTTCCCTCACAAACGCATACACAAAACTCCTTGGTTCTCACCTGATCACACCACAGAGAACCAGATGGATCATATTCGCACTAGTAAAAAATTCATTAGGTCAATCGGAGACGTGAGAAGTAGGAGGGGAACTGATATAGCTTCAAATCACCACCTGGTTGTGGCCAAGATGAAACTGAAGCTAATGAAGCACTGGAAAACTGGGGAAACAGAAGTACAAAGTTTCAATACAGCTTTCCTTCGAGATACTGACAAACTCAATGAATGCAAAATAACTTTCAACAACAGCTTACAAGTCTTGCAGGATCTACTGAAAGAAGAAGAAACTACTATGGAGGATAACTGAGAAGAAATTAAAGAATCACTAACTTCAACATGTTAGGAGGTGGTGGGCCGCAAGATGCACCTTCATAAAAAGTGGATCTCTATTGAAATCTTGGGTAAGATTCAAGAAAGGAAGAAGAACGAGAAGATAGTAATTAACAACAGTCGAACAAGAACAGAGAACGTCAAGGTACAAGCTGAATACGCATTAGGAAGCAAGAGAGTGAAGAGGAGTGTTAGAACTGAAAAGCAGGAATCTGTGAAAGTCCTAGCAACGACAGTGGAAAAAGCTGCAAGACAAGGAAATATCAATAAACTGTATGACGCGACGAAGAAACTGATAGGAAAATATAGTAAACCAGAGAGACCGGTCAATAACAAAGAAGGCAAAACAACCCCTGAAATTCAACGACAGAGGAACAAATGGGTAGAATACTTTGAGGAGCTTTTGAATAGACCAGTTCCATCGAATCAACCGGACACCGAAGCAGCATTTACAGACCTTCCTATAGATGCCACTCCACCAACGATCAAAGAAATCAGGATGGCCATCAGACAAATCAGGAGTGGGAAAGCAGTAAGACCTGAGAATATACCAGCTGAAGCACTGAAGTTAGTTATAGAAGTAATTACAAACATTCTCCACATTCCATTTACGAAGATTTAGGAAGAAGAAAAAGTGTCGATAGAATGTAAAGAAGGTTACCTCGTCAAGGTACCAAAGAAAGTAGATCTGAGAAAGTGGGAAGTACAGAGGCACAGACTATTATCGGTACCAGGAAAAGTTTTCAACACTGTTGCTGAACCGGATGAAATACTCAATAGGCTGAATTTTGTACGAATCAGTTGTGCATAGACCGAATCGTGACACTACGGGTCATTGTTAAACAATCAGTGTAGTGGAACTCATCACTATACATCAACTTCCTTGATTATGAGAAAGCATTTGACAGTGTGAACATTATGGAAACTTCGACACTATGGTATAAAATTGTCAATATCATCCGAAATCCATATGATGGACTACACTGCAAAGTAGTGCATGGAGGACAGCTGACAGACGCATTTCAAAGTGAAGAGCGGAGTCGGACGAGGCTACTTTCTCTCCCCCTTTCTCTGTTCCTCTGGTGGTCGACTGGATTATAAAGAACTCTACATGTGAGGGGAAGCATGGAATACAATGGACAGCTTGGATGCAATTAGACGATTTGGACTTCACAGATGCCCTGACCTATCTGTCTTATGCACAACAACAAATGCAGGTCAAAACAAATGGTGTAGCAGCTGTCTCTGCATCAGTATGCCTCAATATACACAAAGGAAGAAGTAAAATCATAAAATACAGCACGGAGAAAGCCAACGCAGTCACACTTGATGGCGAGACTCTGGAAGAGGTAGAAACATTAACGTACCTGGGAAGAATCATCGTTGAACGTGGAACATCTGATGCAGACGTAAAGGCGAGAATTGGAAAAGCAAGGACAGCATTCCTAAAGTTGAAGAACATATGGAACTCAGGCCCACCGTCAACCAATATCTTGATTACAAACGTCAATACAGTCCTACTGTACGGAGCTGAAGCTTAGAGAACCACTACAATCATCATCAAAAGATTACAAGTATTTATAATCAATTATCTACACAAGATACTGATTGTCCGTTGACCGGATATCATCAGCAACAGTCTACTGTGGGAGAGAAGAAACCAATTTCCAGGTGAGGAGGAAATTAAGAAAAACCTTTGGAAATGGATAGGTTGTGCATTATTGAAATCATCAAACTGTATCACGAGGCATGCGTAAACTTGGAATTCTGAAGGGAAACGGGAAAGAGGAAGGCCGAACAACCCACTGCGTCGAGGATTGAAAGCAGACATCGAAAGGATGAATAGCAACTGTAGTAGATTGCCCAGGACGGAGTTGGGTAAAAAATGCTAGTGACCGCCATTTGCTCCTCCACGAGGGGTCAAAGGCGCAAGTAAGTAATATCAGTAAGAATATTGTTACTATTATTTATATATATATGGAAACAACCACGGAAGCATTAGATCATGAAGGCGCTAAAATGTTGGATCAAGGGAATTTTAAAAACGAGTTGAAAATGAAAATTTATTCTCTGTTCTCGTCTCTATCACAATTTCGAAAATTCTTGGGATTTTCTAAAAAGAATGTAATATTCAGTTCAGTTTGAAATCAGTCTAAATGGATTCAGCTTATTAAATCATTTAATCAAGATCAATTCATTAGATAGTCACATACCAACAGAGAATGAGAAAATATTTGCAGATAATAGAACCTACCTAGATAACCGGTCTAAAAAGTAGTCATCGGAACAGAATGATTTACCGTTGGTGGACTACTTTTGAGAAGACTTAATTCTATTTACAGGGTGGTATATTAATGTTATTCAACTCAGAGAACACAATGCTGCTAGGAAAACGCATCAGAAACCAGAAACATACTGTCGATATTATAGTAGCTCACTTTCATAGAGTTGGATCCAGGATGGTCTCTTCTGAAACTATAATGACAATGTTATTCATGGTAATAAGAATACGAATGAATAATTATTGCTGTATATATATATATATATATATATATATATATATATATATATATATATATATATATATATATATATACACGTTCTTTGTCCCTATTCACTTCCCTTCGACTCTTTTGTGTTTTGTTTTATACTACTTATTAATATTCAGTAAGTAGTTTTTTCCTAGCGATTTCTAAGCTTATGTTGTAACGCAAGTTTGTCATGTAATATTTTGTAAAATTTACATTTAATTATAACATTTATCATTATAATTGATTTATCTCAAGCACTGCAGCAGTTATTCACAATTTTGTATAATTGTTTATACCTTGTTTAAAGGAAACAGTTTCCATATTTTTTTGTTCTTGGTTCAATTTTTGCTTACTGATAAACTGTTACCAAGTTTGAACATAACTAACAGCTCTTGTTTCCACTATCCGTATGTTGTAATTATTCATTATGTTATTATTGCAGGAAGCAACTTTGAGTTCAGATTTACAGACGCGGTAAACGCTATGGATATCTTAAAAGTTGATGTTTGTAACTCCGCCTGGAGTCCCTGTGTAACTACTGCCCGACCCAAACCCGGATAAAACAGCAGGGTTGGGCATAAGGTTAGCAACCCCATCCTGTAGAAAACTAACACGCTAAGAAAACGCTAACCAGGAAACAAAATAATTCAAACCATTATATATATGTATATGAAATAGACAATTGACTTTTAAACACATTTCTAATGATGATAAATTTATAAATATTTTCGATTAAATAAATATTATGTTGTTTAAATAGGAATAACTGACACACACACATACAGACAGTGATAAAATAAGATGAGTATTATCATGAACAAAAGATATGATTTCAATTTGTTCATTTTTCTTTTCTGTGAACCATAAAGTTTTACAGATAGTGATAGTGGTGGTGGTCTATGTGTGTGTTTTGTTGTTGTTGTTGGGGGGGGGGTACTTGTCAAAATGATGTCAGAAAAGAAATAATTCTCTATTAAAATTTTTCATGCAAATATTTAATATCAGATATGCAATTGATTATAATATGTATCTAGTGAAAATTCTTTAAATAAATCAACGATGATATCCATATGAAGAAAAATGAGAAGAATTTGATTCGATGTTTTTATGTTGTTGTTGTAATTATGCATATCGCATAATCTTAATGTTGGCCAAATATTCTATATTAAGAGGATCATTAAATTGTTAATATTTCTACCATATTTGTAAAATAGCTAATTTCAATGTTTTGAAGTAATTTACATTTGTGAATGTTCATGCATGTTCAAATAGTGAAGAAAGCTAATTGTATGATTTATTGATTATTAGCTAGCTTGATATATATATATATTAATTGAAAATATACTAAATCATTCAATGAATCCATAGAATTGTGTTAAAAAATTGTTGTATTATGTAATGATGTTGATTTATTTTGTAATTGTGAAGAATCTGAAACAGAAAATTTAAGTAGTTAAAGTTTAACTACTTGTAAGTAGTCAAATGTGCAATACAAAATTATTGGGCTCTATATACATTAGAAATTATATGTATTTGTAATATTCCAATAAGTAGAAAAATGAGATTTTCTGATGTTTGATGATTCAGTATAAATCACTTCTTCAGAGAATAAATAGCCAAATCTGCTCAGTATTTAATTTATTTGAAATTATCAAATCAAACCTTGGTAATGATATATATTGTGGTCTTTAGCTCTTTACATTGTCTGATATAAATCTACTTTTTTGTGTAATTCATTAACTTCTGTTGAAAATTTGTTGAAGACTATAAAATTCCACAAAAACCACGTCTGATAAGAATCAGCATATGTTCACTAGTGACTGGCTTCAAGAGGTATTTACTAGAGTTCTAGTGAGAAGGAGTGAAGTTCAACCGGGTGTGATGTGAGATAGTAACTTACTGAAGACAATGATGGATGTATCGCTCAATTTAGTGGATTAGTTGAAGTTAGACATTAACACCGTTGGATGCCGGCCAGCTCAGTGGTCTAATGGTTAATGGTCCTGGGTTCGAATCTCTCGAGTCGGGATTGCGTATGCGCACTGCTGAGGAGTCCCACAATAGGACGAAACGGTCGTCTAGTTCTTCCAGGTTTTCCATGGTGGTCCAGCTTGAAATGACTCATGATCTCGACTCTTGAAATTACTACAATATCCACCAAACCCCTTCTGATATGGATCAAGATATTGTCGTTAAACGAATCCGTTTTAAATTGATTCTTTTTTATTTCTATACTGATAAGATTTAATTGAAGAATGTTATAATTCAAACTGTGAATAACCAGACGAAAAAGTGGTTAAGCATAGTATTTCATTTCCATGTATTTTGATATGATTATATTATTTAGTTTCATTCTAACTAAGGAAGAATTAGTCATATTGTTAGACATGGGATTTTTGAAAAACACATAAACATTGGTACAAGGGAGCACCAAATATGTATTCACTACATAAATCCCTCTATTTTTGTGATGGATGAAGTACTTCTCGGGTGCCCAAACTGAAACAGATTATTTTCTTAGGAGGTCAAACACTGTGTCTTTGACTTATAGGTCTGATCCACAAAGCAATGGAGCAATGTCAGGATATGCATTCACATGTTAGCCGATGACTAATAATACGTTCATATGCCATTTATTCCTTCAAGATCCTGAAGTCCGTATGCACCATTGATTTGAGGTCAGGGTTTTCCAACTTTCCTAGATGGACTCTCCGTGTCCACCAACCCATTAAAAGCTTACTTAGTTACTTACGCCTGTTACTCTTCGTAAAGGAGGATAAGCCGTTCATCAGCATTCTCCATTGAACCCCGTCCTGGGCAATCCTTTCCAGCTCTTCCAGTTCTTATTCATCCTTTTCATATCTGCTTCTATTTCTCGACGTAATGTGCTCATTGACCTTCCTCTTTTCCGCTTCCTTTCAGGATTCCAAGTTGGGGCATGTCTCGTCAGACAGTTTGATGATGCGTAATGTATGTCCTATTCATTTCCATCCTCTTTTCTTAATTTCCTCTTCAGCTGAAAGTTGGTTTGTCCTCTTCCAAAGTAGGCCGTTGCTGATGGTATTCAGACAATGGATGTTGAGTATCTTGCGTAGTTAGCTATTTATAAATACTTGTGCCTTCTGGGTGATGGCTTTCATAGTTCTCCAAGTTTCAGCTCCGTACAGTAGAACTACCTTGACATTCGTATTGAAGATTGTCACTTTGATATTGGTTGAAAGTTGTTTTGAGTTCCATATGTTCTTCAATTGTGGGAATGCTGTCCTTGCTTTGCCAATCCTCACCTTTACGTCTGCATCTGAACCTCCTTGTTCATCGACGATGCTTCCCAGGTACAAGAAGGATTCTTACAGAGTTTCGCTATCGATCGTGATTGGATTAGTGTTCTCCATGTTGTATTTGAGGAGATCAGTTAAAGCATCAGACATATATCACATATAAATGTTAGTAGTAAAAGTTTAAATAACTTAAAAATATATACATTTCGAAATACGAATACTTTTTTTGTTGTTTCTGTATTAAAAAAGATGAAAACCAAATAAACGAACCCAGATCATACATGATTTATATAGTTTGTAAAAATTTGTCAAATGTATGTTATTTAAAATAGAATAAATAGTTAATCATTTATTATGATAAAAAAGAATGTCAACTTTTAAGCAATTAGTTGTTCTTGTTACCATAGCAACAGAGATGAATGAAGAAATACTTTCATAAAACTAATTTGTCATTAAAATAAAAGAAGAGAGGGGTATTGTGTGTTTATAATATTTTTCATAGGAAAAGATTAGGACAATTATGTGTGTGGGTGGTGTGTGTGTGTGTTTGTGTTTTTTCCTCTGATGAACTTTTAAATTCAGTTAGACATTTAATTTATTTGTCCTATTATTAGGATAGATGGACGAGAAATGAAGATAGACAATGAGAAGGATATCAGATAGGTTTTGTGGATATTATAGTAATTTCAATGGTTAAGATCATGATTCAGTTGAAGCTAGACCACCATGGTTAAGTGTTCACTCGCGAAATCAGTAGGTCCTGGGTTCGAATCTCGCAGGGGGCGAGGTCGTGGATGCGCACTACTGAGGAGTCCCACAATAGGACGAAACGGTCGTCCAGTTCTTCCAGGTTTCCCATGGTGGTCTAGCTTCAATTGACTCATGATATTAACCATTGAAATGAGAAGAATAAAAAATCATAGGATAGAAGTAGAAAATGAAAGTTTAAGATAGAATGAATTGAAGAATGCTGGTCAACGTCTTATACTCCACGACGAGGGGTAACAGGCGTAAGTAAAGTGAAGTTAAGATACATATTTCAGATGGAAAATTTTAGAGTTACTGTGTTTGTTTGTTTGTTTTTTGATGACCTGAATTCATTCAATTGAATTAAGTCAAGATAATTAACACAACAATCTATGATTACTGTAAATAGAATGCTATATCTCAGGTTGTCAATAATCATGATAGAATGAATAATTTTATTAATATCAGGAGGGCTTTTGTGAATATTATTGTAATTTTAATAGTTGAGATCATGAGTCTATTGAAGTTAGACCACCATGGAAAACCTGGAAGAACTGAACAACTGTTTCATCCTAGTATGGGAGTCCTCAGCAGTGCTCATACGCGATCCCGACTCGCGAGATTCGAACCCAGGACCATTAGCCATTAGACCACTGAGCTGGCCAGCATCTAACGGTGTTAATGTCTAACTAACTGCATCCATCACTGTCTTCAGTGAGTTACTATCTCACAACAGACTAAGTTGAACTCCACTGACCACTGCTTCTCATAATTTTATTGATTTTGGCAAAAGGCTGATGTAATCGTATTAAAAATTTCTGAACAGAACATTACGTAACCTTTAAACTGTAGATTTTAAAAGAATAATTAATTGTCAGATTAAATATGTAAATATTATTCTAGATTATATGGTGAAAAGACCATGAGGTGAGACTATAATTTATGGACAGCATTTGAGCGACACTATAGTGAACTCGAGAGTGTACACCTAATAACTAGGTCTTAATGGGGGGGGCGATCTTAAACCAGTGTGAGGTATTCGAAATATGAATTATAGTTGGTGGTTAGGGTTAGGAATTGAATATAGGGTTCTCATCACAAACTGAGATTAGCTATAATGGCAAAACTCTATTTATCCAAATGAATGAGTGAATTTCGCACCAACATCCGAGACCTGGTATCTTATAACTGATTGCTTCGTCCATAAATTATAGTCCCAGCATTGATTCTTTCATCCTAGTTGTTTTGATATTGCTGTGAATTAAATTTAATTTTGTAAGAGGTTCTAATCATCCTATTATTAATATTCTTGACTGTGCAGCAGATAGTCTTGACATAATCATATCATAAACTTTGTAGAATAGACTGACTTCAGCTAATATTTGAGTCCAGAATTCTTTGTATATGCATCAACAATAGGATTTGTGTTCATTTCGTTGGGAAATTCCAAAATAGGCGGAATAGTTGTTATGCATTCCACACTGTTAGCTACGATCTATTTATTCTGTACAGTTATTTGAATATTTTACATCGTATTCGATACAGTGTATATCGTAGTTCATTTTACATGTGAATTGTAAATGGATCACAACAAAGTAGTTTTGTGGTGTGTGCTACTGATGTCGATAGATATAAGTAGTATGTATCATCAATTGAAATTGAAATATCTGGTAGCAGAAGGTTAAGAAGATCAAAGAAAATAGAACGAGAACCGAGATGGATTAGACTAAGTACGAAGAAACAATGAAGTTTATGGACGATTGATTAACATTTAACAAATGAATTACACACTGTATGGTTCACAGATTTTACTAAGATGTTCTGTAATTTGTGTATTCAAAATACATTCGATTGTCCACCATTTGTGTTCATGTTAACTACAGTTTACCATTCATGAAGTTAATTCATAAAACATAGTTTCCCAGTATTTGCGAGTGGAGTTTTTATGATACATTAAAAACGTCAATCGTTATGAACCCGAAAAATGTAATGATTTGTACATTTTTTGGTGGTGGTGGTGGTGATAATGATCATAAAAATGAATTATTGGGTTCTGGATTGAAAGGTATGAGATTTACGGGGACTAGGAAGCAGTTCAGTAGATACTGTCTATGTGTTTAAGTACAAGATGTATCGATTAAATAAATACTCCGCACAAAATAGTTAGATTTGCTATTAACTTAGTCCTGTCATAAATTAATCAGTTCTTAGTGTTGGGGACGATAGATCCCCAAACTCATATTTTTAAAATTTATCTTATCGATTAAATGTTAGATATTTTTAGTGGGGTCAATTGATGAATTATCGATTAAATGCGCAAATAGGTCAATTGATGAACTATCGATTAAATGTTCAAATAGCAGTCAATTGTTGATTAATGTTCAAAAATCTTCCATGACAATATCGATTGTAAATATTTGTATAAATACGCTTGACTTGTATGCTTGATCTGATCTGCCTGCCTGACTTGTTATCTGCTGTTGTCTGTAGAATACACTTTCTACACCTTACACAGACTTCTTGATCGAGTTAGCAGAGTTGGGGACAACGGACCAGAATAGACTATCGAGATTCTGAACCCTTGATCCGATCGATAAGTCACTGTCATATAATCGGTCTCTCTTTGAGCCATAACAATTGGCGACGGGGATGGGATTCGGACCCACGCGGGGAAACCCCAATGGATTAGCCATAACATAAAGAAACTAAGTTAATAAAAGACTAGAATAAAATGAAAAGGAACTCAAATGGAAAAAGTATGTAACTTGTGGATTCGTATAAATCCCAGGGGAGGAAGAAATTAGGAAGAAGCGCTGGAAGTGGATACAACACACATTGAGGAAAGCACCCAACTACGTCACAAGGTAAGCCCTCACATGGAATCCTCAAAGCCGAAGGAGGAGAGGAAGACCAAAGAACACAATACACTGAGAAACGGAGGCAGATATGAGAAAAATGAACAAGAATTAGATGGAATTAGAAAGGAGGGCCCAAGACAGTGGGTTGAAGAACGCTGTTTGACGGCCTATGCTCCATTGGGAGTAACAGGCGTAATTAAGTAAGCAAGTAAGGATTCGTATATAGATCATGAGAAAGTTGAAAATCCAGATCAATACAATATAGATTTTGGTTTAAATAAATACAATCAGTAGAAAACCTAAGTCTAGAGATTTCTGCAAACTATCTTCAACCATCGAATATCAAAAACAGTGGATGCGATGTTGAACCAATTAGACAAGAGATTACATTGTAAAACAATCAATCAATGCTAAGATCTAGACAAACACAATGATCAGTGATTAGAAAATCGATCATATTTACCATTGTTTTACTTTTTTTAGGTAACTGAAGAGAATGTGTTAAACAACAATCGATTATTTTATTCTAATTGTAGTAAGCGAGAATACAAGTGATAGACAACCAAACATATTTGGACATAGAATTACAGAATCTTTTAGTAAAATCTATGAACCATACAGTCAATACTTCATTGTTTCTTCGTTCTCACACCAATCAACATTCTTTGTTCTTATTTCTCTTTTCTTCGAACTTTTTAACCTTCTGCCACTAGACATTTCACTTTCGATTCATGATACATACTACTTATATTCACTTGATATTGTTTAGCTTGTATCTTCGCATTGAGGTTTAAGACTGCAATTCATTAGTCTGTTATTGGCATATGTGCATACTGTGCGTATGCCTCGATATTGCATTAATTCAAAAGCTTTTTGTAAGCAATGATGGATATTGGCTGGCAGTGGAATCCAGTTTGACACGCGTTTCGTCCTATTTGGGACTCGTCAGGTGGATGTACCTGCATCTTAGAGTTGATGTTCACTCTGGGACTCGAACCCAGTACCATTCGCTTCAAACGTTATCGCGTTATCCACTCAGCTACTAAGTCCTAATAACCACTTGCTTGTGCAATGGGGTGAATTTAAATTCACTTGGTATTGTTTGGCTTATATCTTCCCATTGAGGTTTAAGATCCAGGTACATCCAGCTGACGAGTCCCAAATAGGATGAAACGCGCGTCCTGCTAGACACTATCCATCATTTCATACTACTTATATCTTTTGATATCAGTAACACATACCACACATTATGAACAAAGTACTTTTTCAATAAATTCTCATCAGATCCTATGGCTTCTCAATATTTAAAGAAAAAACAGGACTTTTTACCTTTATGAATTTTACGAATACAACCTTCTGTTTGTGTAAATTGATATTCTGGTAAACAATCACATTTATAAGAATTTCTACCAAGATTCAAACATGTACCCCATTCACATTTGTTTAGCACATCATTCCGACTACATGGTGATTGATATTTATATAATTGTGTGTTGGAATCTTTCTGTAAATGGTTTATATCTGTGAAATAATATAAACAATTAGATAATGGAAAGATAAATAATAAAGAATATGACTTAAGAATCATCGTTAGCCAAGACTTAAAGACTGCTGCACACTGCCATGCAATAGCCGCCAAAGGTTTTAGAACGTTTTGATCAATATGTAGGGCTTTTAGTCATGTCAATGCTAAAACGTTTTTGACTTTGTATACAGTGTTCATGCGTCCTAAACTTGAGTACTGCATACAGGCGGCTAGCCCTGGCTTAGTTCATTCTATGATATTCAAACATGATTTATGAAGGTGTATAAGTAGTATATAACTGTTGTTTTTCAAATCACAAACAGTCCACGTTTGTATTCATGAGACAATTTTACTGTTATAGCTGCTCATGTACAATTGAGTTTGTTTACATTTAATTTGGTTAAACCCTTTTGTTAACTTATTTAACGGATAAAGTCATTCGTACAATAACAACTTATCTATACTATCGTACCTTTATTATTGTTGTGCTTGTATGAATATGTATGCTTGAGCATTGCTTACTACCTACGCATATATTCATTCTGCTAGCCTTACTGTTAGTCGATGATTCATTTATTTTCCTTTAAGATTATTAACAAAATTTGAGTTATCCCATGACCACCTTAGCAACAAATGTTTTACATTTTTTCCATTGTCTTATTTTTCAATACATAAGTCATTCGGTCGTAATCAACTTAGAACCTGGCACATGTGCACATCGGCTTAAGTTGCCATACCCCATTACTAAATCTCAGAGTAGTAGACATAGTAACAGTATTAACGGTAGCGAAAAAAATCGAGCATCGAAGATTCGATTCGGAAAGAAAAAAACATAAGGGATTTATAATCTCAGGATTTGAGAGGGAGACAAAAAATCAGATGCACCTGCACCATCATAAACCATTTAGACCCATGTCAGCAAAAGCCTTTAACTCTTGATTACCATAATCACATGGACCCCAACCGAGTTGTCTGCACCCATCTACATGTGTTAGTGGGACACAGATTGGATTAAAGCATGCTCAATGTACAATTGTGTTGCTGCACACTGATTGGCTAATTGTTATTTAATCAGCACTAGTCGATATTCAGAGTCATCTCTCGAATCTTCTGTAAAAAGCTATAAATATCCTATCGTTTTTCCTACTGTGCTTCTTACTTCCATCTACCCCTTGTTATTTGGAATATAATCTCTTACCTGTTCAACCGTGTTCTGATTTGAGGGCTTGTCGAGTGAATTGGTGTCCGAGAGTACAAAGCAATAGGAATAGCTTGGTTTGCAATAAGAGAGAATTATAACAATACCCAACTTGAATCGGAGTGAATAATCATACCAGGTGTAATTTGTAAAGGAATAGAATTTCACCTTATTGATATCGAGGACTATAATGAAAGAATCCTAACTGGCATATATACCTCTTACGCTGGTCGCTTCCATATAACACGTGTTTCAGTATGCTTCGTCCTGTTTCGCAAAAACTTGATGGATGCATTGGTATCTTGATTTTGATTTCAAAAGTGAATGTAGAATACGTGTCATATATAGACAATAATCATATAGTTTAAAGGATAGGGGAATATTTTGGTAGAAAGATTGTGGAAAAACAAAAAAAGACTTCTTTTTTGATTAAACAAATTCTGTTTCAGTCAATGTCGAAGTCCGTTCGACCTTTTATACAGAAGGCTAGTTACATACATAGAGGGAGAGGATTGGCAAGTCAAGGAAAGTATTTCTATAAATGAGGGACAGATTAGATGTTGAACAACTTATAATCAATATCAAAATCAGAATCTTTAATACGAACATCAAGACAGTTCCACTGTAAGGAACTGAAATGTGAAGAACTAGCACAAACACCAACAAAACGGTTCAAGTTTTCATAAACAATTGTCTACGCAAGATACTCAATCTCCGTTGACCGGATACCATCAACAACAGCCTACTATGAAAGAGAACTAACAAACTTCCATCTAAGGAGGAAATAAATTTGTAAGTGGATAGGACATACATTGAGGAAATCATCAAACTGCATCATGAGGCATGTCCTAACTTGGAACTCTGAAAAGAGACGAAGAAGAGGAATAGCAACGAATACAGGTCGTCGAGAATTGGAAGGAGACATGAAAAGGATTACTTAGAACAGGGTTGGATAGAGAATGTTGGTTAGCAGTTTATGCTCCTCGAGGAAAGGTCAAGGACTAAAGAGAGCTTAGCAGTGACTCGAGATAATAAGTTCTGAACTGATTCTGACTATTGTTTTTTTGTCATATGATATTATTGAATAGTTATAGTCATAACAGCTATATCGCTCATGTCAGTAATGATGGTAAATTCATCACCTCAGTCATTGTTTTTCCATGTGATACAAAATCTACGATTTCAAATTATCACTCATGAATACCAGCAGAACTATTCATGGTAAATCATGAAGAGAGGTATGCTTTTACAATCGAATGATCGCTGGGTCGAGCATCACTTGGTCGATAGCATTCGATATACCCTAAGAAGGAATTGATACACATGACATTGATCACCATCCAGTGATCAATCAATTGTGATTACATCTCAGTCCTAAAAGAGGTCGGCCGAGGCCTGGATGACCCGGTGGTAACGTCTCTGACTGTGAAGCTGTGTGACACGGGATCAAATCCGTCAGGATGCACCAGTTCTCCCAAGATTACAGGTACACCTTGCTGACTAGTGCCAAGTAGCACGAAACCTGGGTCCAGGATTTACTGTTGACTACCTCCAACCACCATCTTACCTCAAGAAGTGTGTTGTATTTATTAAATATTTTAGAAATAAAAATCTATCATAACTTACAATTATATTGTTTAATGTTTACTGGATGAAAAGATTTTCTGATATCTTCAACACTTTCATCATTTTGCAATACACTGTCTGCTCCTTCTATAAAGATAATTTGAGATGTAAAAGTAATTAGAAATTCAGTAAAGAGTAATAGCTACGAGTAATATGAAATTTTTAAGTATGAATAAATAGGTAGGAGATAAATCGATTAACATAACCCAGCGTCAATTCGCAACTGACTAGATTTCAAAAGACTAGACTACTGCCCAAACGGCTGAGTATCTGAATATATATTACTTAAGCCTATTACCCCTCGTGGAGGAGTGCACGCCACTCGCTAGCATTCTTCATCCAACTCTGTTCTGGGCAACTCTTTCCAGTTCCTTCCAGTTACTATTCATCCTTTACATGTCTGCTTTCAATTCTCGACGCAGTGTGTTCTTTGGCGTTCCTTTTTTCTGATTCCCTTCAGAATTCCAAGTTAGCGCTTGCCTTTTTATGCAGTTTGACAATCTCCTCAATGTGTGTCCTATCCACTTCCAACGTTCTTTCCTAATTTCCTCCTCAGTTGGAAGTTGGTTTGTTCTCTCCCACCATAGGCTGTTGCTGATGGCATCCGGCCAACATATATATATTACAAGATTAAAACTGTCATTTGGATTCAACATGGGATCGTGCATTTATTCTTTTTTGAGGACTGACAATTAATCATGCAATTAAATTCTTCTAACATTAAACCAAATATGGCAATTAGCCTTTTCCAATTTTCAGTATAGGGTTATGGAGATTATTAAGTTATTGATTGAGATCTTGAACCGATTGATGTTAGACCACCATTAACTTGTAAAATGGTACAGTTTTCATGTATATATTACATGTAACTGAAGTATTGGTGTCTGTAGCTGAGCGAAAGTTCATCTTCAAAATGATCAAGTTCATACAACCTTCAATTGAATAACTGATTTGGTCTAATAGATAGATCTGTTGTAGTTGTAACATTGCTTTATTCAATCTAAACTCAATGACCGATCAATTTAAATCGAGAAATGTGCTGTATCTATGACTATACGATAGACGTTTATTTGAGAAATAGTTATATTGTACAATCATGAAATGTGTGGTAGGTGCCTTCTGATACTTCATACAGTAGGTTATCTACCAACTATACTCTGTCATCCAAGTAGTGGACTGAAGTGTCATTCTATAAAAGACTAGTCATATACACACTGTACTTTTGTCCCTGACTTTACTGGCATGGTGGGTAACTAAACACTAGTTCCTCTTAGGATACCCACTCTACAAACCGTTTATATTAAGAACAACAGTCATGCATTCACTAATGATGTACTTCAATCAGAATTTCTCTAGTTCTACTGAGTATCAATAATTGATAAAGTTCATACTAAGTTGAAAAATATACCTGGTTTTCAGTGACTAACTTGTTAAAATACGTCAGTATTCCAAATTTAAACAAAAAGAATAATAACGAACCTCCTATGTTATTAACGACAAAACAGAAGTAATTCTAGAAGTTGAAATCATCAGTCAATTGAAGCTAGACCACCATGGAAAACCTGGAAGCACTGGACGACCGTTTCGTCCTAGCATTGGACTTCTCAGCTGGATATACCTGCACCGTTCGGTTCAGACGCCATCACGTTATCCACTTAACTACTAAGTTCTGATAGCACTTGCTTGTATAATAGGGTGAAGTTGAAATTCACTTGACATTATTTACTTAAATCTTCCCATTGATGTTTACGATTGCATACCGGGTGTATTGCTTCGATACTACCTTCAGTCACAAGGATTATAAGCAAAGATCGATAGTGGCTAATAGTGAAATACAGTTTGATGCGCGTTTCGTTCTACTTTCGACTCGTCAACTAAATGTTTGCTTTTAATACTTATGAATCAAGGCTATATCGATGCAATACATACAGTATGCACATATAACCAATAAGAGGCTGTTTTTAATTGTAGTCTTAAACATTAAGGGGAAGATTCAAACAAGTAATACCAAACAATTTTTCTAGATAAGTAATTCATTCATTTAACATGATTTCATATTTACATGATTATCGGTATTATTGGTTATATACGATAAACAAACATAATCGCATTCACAAAATTACATGGACTTCACCAGATCACACTACGATAAGAGTGGTATATCAATTTAATATTAGTTGTGATATAAATTAACTAACTGCACAACGACCTAATGATGAGTCTTCGGATGCTTACAAACAAATTTGAAATAAAAACCTTGAAGTCATATGCAAATAACTGATTGTGGAGTTTTTAATTCCGAGAGAACAAACCAGATCCCAACAGAGGAAGAATAGCTGGAAGTGGATAGGACACACATTGAGGAAACCACCTAACTGTGTCACAAGGCAAACCCTCACATAGAATCCTCAAGGTCGAAGGAGGTGAAGAGGAAGACCAAAGAACACATTACACCGGGAAATGGAGATAGACATGAGAAAAATGAACAAGAATTGGATGGAACTAGAAAAGAAGGCTTAGGATAGAGTAGGTTTGAGAATGCTGTTCAGCGGCCTATGCTCCATTAGGAGTAACAGGTGTAATTAACTAAGATAAACAAGGAGGATCAGATGCAGACGTAAAGATGACAATTACCAAATCAAGGAAAGCATTCCTACGATCGAAGAACATATGAAAGTTACAACAACTGCTTATCAACCAATATCAAAATCACAATCTTCTATACGAACATCAAGATAGTTCTACTATACAAAGTTGAAACTTGGAAAAATTACCAAAAAAATTAATTACTTAAGATAAGTAATTCATTCATTTAACATGATTTCATATTTATATGATGATCGGTATTATTGGTTATATAAGATGAATTGTGAATGTGTATCATGTCACAATCTTGAAAGGTATGTAGGGATGTATGTAGGGAGGTTTCTTATTTTTTCCCTTAGAAGATATGTTAAATCATTGAAATATTCTGTCATATTACAAAGATGATCATTCGACAGAATATGTGTCTAAGCAAGTACACTTCTAACTGTCTGTAATTGATTCTACCTCTTCCTTCTTTTTTAAATTTCAGTTATGTATCACCTCAGTTGATGTTAAATCTTGTAAATTAACTGTATATGAAATGTAGTTTTACATAGAAACGTCTTCTCTTCTTTTTTTTAAATTTTGTCTAAAAATATAATCTGTGTGCTAATGTTTTGTTTCATTAGTAGGCTTCAATATTACGTAGATAAGGAAAAAGGTAAGATCCTCAGATACAAGATGGAGAACACCAACATAATCAAACTTGATGAAGAAACTGTAGAAGAGGTGGAATCTGTTTTATGTATCTGAGTAGCATCATCGATTAGCATGGTGGATCTGATGTAGATGTGAAGGCGTGAATCGTCAAAGCAAGAGCAACATACTTACAACTGAACAATATCTGGAACTCAAAACAACTGTCTGTCAACCAACAACAAAGTCAGAATTTTCGATATATATGTCAGGACAGTTATACTGTATCGGGCAGAAACTTGGAAAACTACCACAACCATCATCCAGAAGATATAGGTGTTTAATAACAGTTATCTATGCAGAATAATGCGGATCCGTTGATCAGAGACTATAAGCAACAACCTACTGTGAGAAAGAACAAACCGAATTCCAGCGGAGGAAGAAGTGCTGGAAGTGGATAGGACACACATTGAGGAAAGCACCCAACTGCATAACAAGTCAAGTCCTTATTTGGAATCGTGAAGGACAAAGAAGAAGAAGAAGACCAAATAACGCATTACACGTTGAGTAGAACTAGAAAGGCCGAGGATAGAATGGATTGGAGAATGCTAGTTGGCGGCCTATGATCTATTGGAAGTAACAGGCTTAAATAAGTAAGTAAGTAAATCTTCTGTTATATCAGTTTTGGTGTTCTTACTTTCACATCAAAGGAATTCCTTTGGTTCCTCACTTTACAAGTATAAGTAATAATTAACTATTCCGATATAACAATCAACGAGATATATTATTTATAGTTTAAAATGAATAGATATTTATTCAAAGAGGTTTTGTAGAAATTTTAGAAATTTCACTGATTGCGCGAGACTGATAGGTCCTGGGTTCGAATCTCGCAGGGCGCGGGATCGCGGATGCACACTGTTGAGGAGTCCCATGCTAGGACGAAACAGTCGTCCAGTTCTTCCAGGTTTTCCATGGTGGTCTAGTTTCAAATGACTCATGATTTCAATCAGTAAGATATTTATTCATTACTTCTACCAGCATTTAGATTTAAGTTACATTACGTAAGAATTCAAAATGAATAATTTTTTATCATTTCAAAGGAAACAGTATCATCAAGTATCGACTTTGCTTCGTTCTGCTTCGGTTTGGTTTGTTTTTTTTTAGTATCTAAATTGAATATAACACTTAAAAGTTTCCCAACATTCATCTCCATTGACGTGAGTTACAGAAAAGAAAGAAGAAAAAAGCAAAAAACAAATTATTCATTCTATCTGTTTTAAATGTATTTGTTGCTTGGTACATTTTCTGTTCCCACAAAACTTAATGTTTCCTTTACCACAATTTGAAAGGTTTGTAATCTTGGCATATTTTGTAAATGATCCATATTTGAATATACATTTATTATCCTATGGTTTTTATCGCTTATCTGAAAAGATAAGAAATGAAATCTTGTATATACATTTGGTATTGCTTAATAGTCTCTTACCATTGTTGTTTTAAGACTGTAATTGATCAATCTCTTATTGGTATATGTACTTCTAGTGTGTGGATTACATCGATATTGTCTTAAGTCACAAGCTTTATAAGCAAAGATAATTACTTACTTACTTACTTACTTAGGCCTGTTACTCAAAATGGAGCATAGGCCACCGACCAGCATTCTTCAACCCACTCTATCTTGGGCCTTCTTTTCTACTTCCATCCAATTCTTGTTCATTTTTCTCATGCCTATCTTCATTTTTTGGCGTAATGTGTTCTTTGGTCTTCCTCTTTTCCTTTGGCCTTCAGGATTCTATGTGAGGGATTGTCTTGTGACGCAGTTGGCTGGTTTCCTCAATGTGTGTCCTATCCACTTCCAGCCCTTCTTCCTAATTTCTTCCTCCGATGGGATCTGGTTTGTTCTTTCACACAGTTGGTTGTTGCTAATAGTGTCCGGCCAACGGATCCGAAGTATTTTGCGTAGAGAACTGTTAATAAACACTTATATCTTCTGGATGATGGTTGTGGTAGTTTTCCAAGTTTCAGCTCCGTACAGTAGAACTATCTTGACATTTGTATTGAAATATATAACTTTAGTGTTGATTGACAGCTGTTTTGAGTTCCAGATATTGTTCAGTTGTAAATATGCTGCTCTTGCTTTACCCACCATGTTCATCATTGATGCTGCCCGAATATGTAAAGGTTTTTACATCTTCCAAATCTTCTCCATCAATTGTGACTGGATTGGTGCATGCTGTGTTGTATCAGAGAATCTTCCCTTTCCCTTTGTGTATATTGAGACCTACTGCTGCTAAGGCTGCTGCTACACTGGTCGTTTTCTTTTGCATTTTTTGTTGCATTTGGGATAGAAGGGCCAGATCATCTACGAAGTATAGATCATCCAGATTGACGTACGTTTCGTCATATTTGGGATTTGCCATCTCGATATTACCTTCATTTCAGAGTTGATGCTAAATGGATTATGCGGTAGCGTTTCGATCGAATGGTACTGGGTTCGAGTCCTGGAATGAACATCAACTCTGGAATGCAGATATATTCAGCTGACGAGTCCTAAGTAAGAAGAAATGTGCGTTCTGGTTTCAACCACTAGCCACCACCCATCTTTGCTTATAATGAAATCTTGTGTTAAGTCGTTTTCTTATTTGTTCTTAATACACGATCATGTGTGAATTTGTGTTCTAACTAATCCGTTATGTCAGACTATATAGCAGTTGGTGAATAGAAAATATAGACAGAGGACATCACATTTACAATATACGCAACAGTGAAAACAGTATATCCATCCATATATTTGAAAGCTACTTAGATACTGACTTACGCCTGTTACTCCTCATGGAGGAGCATAGGCCACCTACCAACAAACTGCATCCAACCCTATTCTGGGCAATCGTTTCCAGCTCTTATTCATCCTTTTCACATCTGATTCCCTTTCCCGACGTAATGTGTTCTTTGGCCTTCCACTTTTCCACTTTTCAGTTGGAAGTTGGTTTTTTCTCTCCCACAGTAGGCTGTTGCTGATAGTATCCGGCCAACGGATATTGAGTACGTTGAGTAGACAACTATTTATAAATACTTGTATCTTCTTCAAGACGATTGTAGTAGTTCTCCATGTTTCAGCTCGATACTTTGATGTTGGTTGAAAGTTGTTGTTGACAGTGCCATCTGTTCTTCAATGCCAATCCTCGCATTTATGTCTGCATCCGATCCTCCTAGTTCATCGATGATTCTGTCCAGGTTTGTGAAGGATTCTACATCTTCCAGAGTTTCGCCATCAAGTGTAATTGGATTGGTGTTCTCCATGTTGTATTTGAGGATCATGAGTTTTCCTTTGTGTATGTCGAAGCCTACTGGTGCAGAGGCTGATGCTACACTAGTTGTCTATTTAAAAGCTAACTTACAACTATTTACAATTATTTAGCACTACACGGTCTGCTTAGTAATGGATTTAGTGAGGTTATACTAACTGTGGGTTGTTGACTAGAAAAATTACTTACATTACATATTGGCCATTAACTTATACTAAGTATGAGAAATAATGTTACTAGCCGTTTGGCCAAGGTGAAATATGTGGAGAGGAGTTTAAATCTAAGACTTTACGGCTGAAATCAAAAGCCTTAACCATTAGATCATAACTTCATCATGTACAATAACAAATACATCTTTGAAAGCTGTAATTTTACAATACCTTGCATGAGAACTAGACAAACCAGGCTTTTTAAAATCTGATAAGCATAATCCTGTGAAGTAATCACACAGGTATCAAGAACTCTGATGAATCAGATTAGAAATATTAGAAATAGCTACAAACCTTTATGTTTTACACAGGCACGCCCTCCATTAATTGCTAAATATCCAGGTAGACATTCACAAATATATCCATCACCACCAAGATTTAAACAAATTCCTCCATTGCATTTCTTTACAATATCATCTTGACCACATGGTGTTGATCGAAGACTTGTTCCGCGTAAATGCAATAGTTTAGGTTTTTTATATAATACATCTGATGAGTCTTGTTGTTTATCTAAGAGAATAAATTGGAAAAGGTATTTTGGTTAAGAGTGAGAACAAAATTTTACAAACTACAAATGGTTTTCAATCAATCAGTCAGTCAGTAACAACGTAGATCTTTGTACGTACGTACATTAGTTCAAGTTGTCATACCACATTAACACAGAGAGACAATTGTCGATTCGAATCCCATAGTGGTAGAGGTAATACAAGTATAAGCAGTAATCAGAAAGATTAGGGCTTGAAGATGTTTTTCAAGGCGTATAATCCAGGGATATGAAGAATTCAGAAGATTAGAATTTTAGGAGAACACAAAAAGTGGATCCACCTGCGCCATCTCAAGTGATTTTGAGTCATGTTATTCAAGGTCTCTAACCATCGGTTGCTATCGTTTCGCTGGTCCTAACCAGGTAGTCTACACCTATCAACATGACTCAGTCCACGTGTCAGTGACTTCATAGATTTGTGTCATGTTTTATTCTGACAACCCCTAGCCTTCTTCCAACTTACTCCTACACCAGAAAACATAGCACGTCGGGGCAGTCGGTGGTTGGGCATACGTAACACGTGTCCCAACCATCCCATACGATGACGTCTCACTACTTCATCAATCGATTCGCCATCCTTACCTAGTACACGTTTCCTAACAACTGTGTTACTTACTCGATGGTTCCAGGATATACGAGTAAGTAATGCAGTGGTTTTAGTGAATCAAAGAACTATTCAACTTTTAATAAGTATTCATTTGAATCTGAAATAGATTATAAAGTGAAAAATTAAGTATAATTCTGGTTACTATGTGGGTGCGCTTTAATAATAAAGCACCTAAATGAAATGATCCTATAATAGAGAAATAGAACAGATCGCAAAATGAACAACACTGCAGTTTGATCAACATTATGATCAAGAAAGATTTCTCTCAGTTAAGGGGATTCATTTCACTTCTATGAAGGATGTAGTGAAAAACGATATGGAGGACGATACTTGATAACGTCTAAAGTAGCACAATGAAACGATTTTTAAGACCTCAATCGGGAAATTATGACGGGTAAATAAGCGTCAATCTTAATATGTGTATCTTCGTGATTGCTAACTCATTAGATATACTGTGAGTCGTCTCATAGAAACGTATTATCATACACTTGCTAGTTTTCATAAATTCTGCCTTCATTATTGGAAACGCGACATTACCATATACTTCTTATATCAAGAGCTTAGATTCTTGATATACCGCGTATAACTTGAGCACTCAAACTCTAGAATCCTTCCACGTTGTAAATGAGTAGGTAAAAGACAAGTGAAAGGAATGCTGTACCAAACAGTGTCATTTATCGTACACAGCTGTCAGGTATTTATAGTTTTTTAGTAAAAACGAAATCATCATTATAGTCATCCGATCCGCATAAAACGGGTTATTAGCATTTATCTAATAAGGAAGCTTCACGTCGAGATTCTGAAATCATCATTATAGTCATCCAATCCGCATAAAACGGGTTATTAGCATTTATCTAATAGGGAAGCTTCACGTCGAGATTCTGAAATCATCATTATAGTCATCCAATCCGCATAAAACGGGTTATTAGCATTTATCTAATAGGGAAGCTTCACGTCGAGATTCTGAAATCATCATTATAGTCATCCAATCCGCATAAAACGGGTTATTAGCATTTATCTAATAGGGAAGCTTCACGTCGAGATTCTGAAATATCTTCGGCTCCCTCTGAGCTTCCTCGAGTTCACCCGTGGATCGTCTTCACAGTACTTCATTCAGAGCTGCTTCCAGGATGTTATCGGGTAGAAAAAATAGAAATTCAATGTATTTGTGAAATATTAACAGAGCTTTCAAGATGTTTGTAACCTTTTCTGACATATAATTCTGTAATAAAACATCCTAAAGTACAGTCATGCTCTCGAATAGAAGACGGTTCTGATATCAAGAAATACGATGATTTTATAAGTACTAATGCCATGATTTGACTTGATAATTTCAAATAAATTGAGCATTGGATACAAAGTTAATATATTTTTCTGTTATATCCCAATGAGTAGAGAAATTGTATTTCTGACAACGTTTCGTAACTTGAATTGAGTCACCTCTTCAGAATAAATTAAATGAACACTAGTTGAAATATATTTATTATTTAGCATGATGATTGTTTTATTTTTGTAAGAGAAAAGGCGGATCAAGTCGACATGAACAAACAGTGAATAGACCAATCTGTAATGTCAGTTGCTATTATTAAGCCTACATAGTTTATTCTATGTCTGTAGATTACTTCTGTGTAACTATAAACATTGATTAACGTTTGATTAAATGGAGTTGGCTCACATGCCTTCTTCACTGAGCATCCTTTCGTTTCGCTTCGCTCTCTCATCTTCTCTTCCTTCGCTGCGGTTCTCTGACTGTCTGTTCCAATTAACGAGTGTACAAAATATACGTATTCAAACATTCATTCTCGTAGTTGACTTATTTAATTTCTTTATTTACTTACTCGAGTTAAGTCGACAATTTTACACGAGAATTGACGATGTATATATATATATTATCATTAATAATCATTCATACGATCTAATTGGAGTCGGAGCCCAAGCCACTAAATTGGTGAGCCCATCGATAGCATCGTCCTATCTGATTGACGTCAAAATGAAGGGCCCCACCAAAGTTCTATTTCAAACAATCGTCAAATAAATCATTTCTACATTAATAAATTTATAAATCTAAACAGTATTACCTATAACCACATAGTGTTGAAAATCTACACCTCTACACGTGATGATCATATTTTAGGTTAGTTTATTTTGAAGTGCTTGAATATAACCCACTTAAATATAGAACTAAACAATGATATCACTACTAAACAATGATAATCTCGGAGTGAACATCAACTCTGAGATACCGTTGTATCCAGCTGACGAGTCCCAAATAGAACGAAATGCGCGTCCTGGATTCCATTGCTAGCCACTATCTATCTTTGCTTAATTTGCATTTAAGTGTGTAACATTCAATCTGACTTTTAACTGAATCTATTCATACCAAGTGTATACATACATGTAAATATTCACATTTGATAAGAACAGATATCTTGATTACTCTCATTAGCAAAATGTTATCATCATCATCGTGATCATCATCAAATAATCCTTAATACTATTCTGTAATGCTAACAACGATGATAATATGCAGTGATAACATTAAATGTCATGGTATGAAAGGTGTGTGTGTGTGTGTAGAATTGTTGATATTTGCATTTGAAATCACATATGTAATATTAGTTACACAATAGATTACATTCTTGAACTATTAACTAAACTAGACCATTTGCATCCTTTTATTTTTATTCTATTTGTTAATCTCAAATATCAGAAGGGGTTTTGTGGAGATTTCGGAAATTCCACTGATTGAAATCATGAGTTAATTGAAGCTAGACCACCATGGAAAACCTGGATGCACTGGACGGCCGTTTGGGACTCCTCAGCAGTGCGCATCCACGATCCCGCTCGCGTGATTCGAACCCATGGCCTTCACTCTCTCGCACGAACGTTTAACCTACTGGAAAAAAGATTTATAAATTTAGAGATGTGGTTTTTTAATTGGATTGTCTTGTTGCAATAATGTAGCCAAGAAGTAAGCTGTGTTGGCGCAACAAATCCAATAAAATCATCTAGCTCAGAGAACTTGACGAGTTCAACCTTTTCATTCAAAGCTACAAATATTCTTCATGATCTAGAGAAATCGAAATGCTTCTGTTGTTCCGAAATAATAGTTTAGCGCATTTCGTTTGAATGGCGTAAGGGCTTATGTAATATTATAAATTTGTGGAAAGTGGTACTGTGGTGTGTGCTACTTATATTGACATAAGTAGTATATGATGCTAGTCGTGAACAGAAGGTCTGGCAGCAGAGACAAGAGGATCGGACAGTAAAGAATCGAAACAGAATGCAATTTGTATGAAAATGCAAGAACAATGAAGCCTGAGTCATTTTGAGACAATTGATGGACATTTTGCAAATTAAGCATTTACTTCATGATTGTTAGATTTTGTTAACATGTCCTGTAGTTTTGTGTTGAGCACATTCGATCGTCCGCATCCGTGTTCTGTTCACTACAGTACTTTCACAATTTATGCTTATCATCACTAATTTCAAGCATGAAATTGAGTAAGCAATCATTATGTTACTTACTTTCATTTCAGTAGTACAAGACACATCCTATCAAGTATGCAAAATCCTACTCAAAGCTTCCATGTGGTTCTGCTGGATAGTGAGGTCAACATTGCTACCTAATGTGGGCGGTCAACAGAGATCAGACCAATCCATTACTCCTGTTCTGAACTTGCTTTACCCGGATCTCATTCTTTAAAATTTTAAAATCGTGACGTGTTGCTCGATTTGCGTGTTTATAAATATGAGTTTCAAAAGTCTCCGCTTGTGTATATGATGTTTGTAGGTGTATGCAAATGGTGTGCGCGTGGGTTAGCACAAGGAATGTAAGCTGAAAAAAAGGTCTGCCATATATCTACTAAAATCAGTGATCTAATACAGTAGATCGAAGATATAATAAAAATATAGGATAGCAAATAATAGGGATAAGTGACCACCAACTCTCCCTGATAAAGTGCATATGCTTGTGCGTATATCATGAATTCCATTTATGGAACTGTTTGTACCATTGGTACGCATGTATTAAGTAAGAGACAGTTGTGATAATTACGTTCAAAAGGAGCGGTGGACATCTGCCCTCCCAGGTGGGTGAATATACATAGATGTATGCTAAGGGATGCATGAGTGAAAATTTATGTGTTAGCGGTATTCATGTAACGTATGTTTTCACAGAGGGTAAGTATAAGTATAAGTATGCCAAGAGATAGATTGGTGAAAATTTCTGTCTTACTGGCATGCTTATAGGTTATACTTGCCCTTGATGTGACGTCTGCGCGCCAAGAGTCGGGGATTCCAGCGATGTCCTCTCGAAATCACGTCCAAGCGGTGGGTTCATAAGACTCAAAAAACGGATTCTAATCCAGATAAGCCAATCGACTTTACTGAGTGAAGTTTCATCAACCTTAGATCACTGGAACACCGCAGTAACAACTGGAATCGAAAGACTATATGAAAATGTCCTTACTTTTGGAATCCTGATTATATCACACACAAAGACAGACATTTTGGAATTTAAGTATAATTAATCATACATTAATGAATGTCATCTATTATCATCTCGAAGAAACATAGACACATATCTGACAAGATATTTTCACTAACTTTCAGTAAGATGATACGTTATTCTATAAGAAAAGTGTGTGTAGATTAATATAACAGAGATAAACTTACACTGTGAATAGGATTTATGTTGTTTCTTTGATAAACTGTCACTTTGCCACCAGTTATAAGGCTTTTCATCTAAAAAATTAAACAAATAAATGTGGAAATGAGTTATTACTTGTTTAGTTGTAAGGGACAATGGTCAAATGTACTAACTTAATGGTACAATTTTAAGCATCATCGATGAACAAGGAGGATCGGATGCGGATGTCAAAGCAAGGATTGGCAAAGTAAGAGACGTATTCCTACAGTTGAAAAACATATGGCACTGTCAGCAACAAATATCAGTTAATATGAAAGTCAGAACCTTCAATACGAACGTCAAGACAGTTCAACTGTAAGGAGCTGAAATGTAGAGAACTACCAAAACTATCAAAAACTTTCAAGTAATTATAAACAATTGTCTACGAAAGATACTTAATATCCGTTGACCGGCTATCATCAGCAATAGCCTTCTGTAGGAGAGAACAAACCAACTTTCAACTGAGGAGGAGATTAGGAAAAGACATTGGGAGTGGATAGGACATACATTCAGGTAATCACCAAACTGCATCACGAGGTAAGCGCTAACTTGTAATCCTGTAGGGAAACGAAAAAGAGGAAGACCAAAGAACACATTAAGTCGTGATTTAGAGTCAAACATGAAAAGGATGAATAGCAACTGGAAAGATCTGGAAGGGATTGCCCAGAACAGGGTTGGATAGAAAGTGGTAGTAGGCGGCCTATATTCCTCCACGAGGAGTAGCAGGAGTAAGTAAGTAAGTTCTATTTTAAAACATTTTTGTGTCTTTATGACTTCTGCGATACCATATCAAAAGTTCGAGACAGATAGTAAACCTATAATTGTTAGTTATAGTCATCAACCAAAGTAGTTGATTAGTCACATTATTGTTGAAATGCTCAACACACCGATTCAATCTAACCATAGTTCGACCTGCCTTAAATTGACTACCAATCTATGAACGGGTAACTATGTTCATATGTATCATGTTTCTATGTATCTTCTATTATACTATGTGAGTAATTATAATTAAGTTTAATTCTTATTACCAAGTTCAATTATTTGTTTCAGTTAAAGGTTAGATTATTAAATGTCATGTAGTGATCATCTTAACTGTAGACTTGTACTGATTCTGATATGATAATATGACGGGAAGTGATCAAATAAACTACCTAAATCTTAATATTTCTTAGATGATGGATGTATCAAATGGATGGATTACCTTTCATGTATTGACAACATTGATATAAAATGACTGGTGTAACCTTTTGTAGTCATTCCAACAAATAGCGTTGTAATTTCAAAAAACAAATGAAGATATTCCTAACAAATTATTGGTTGACATCTACCAATCATACATATTCGATTTCATTTGGCTATTTCCTGTTTTTAATAACATCGCTTTAAACGTCAGGAATAACCGACGAAAAAGGTTGTCAAAGAAAACGAGAAAAAAAACACATTTACCCGTTTACAAACAGGCTGAAATATCAATGTAGAGTTGTAGAGATTGTTGATTTTGTAATTTAAATCACAAAGCGATCAATGTTAGGCCACCATTGAAAACCTGGAAACACTGGACGATGGTTTCGTCCTAGTGTGGGACTCCTCAGCATGATCTCGCTCGTGAGATTCGAACCTAGGACCTTCAGTTCCGTGCGCGAACACTCAATCTACTGAACCATTGAGTCAGCATCAAATAGTGTTAGTGTTTAACCACAACCAATGCACGAAATTGCATGACCATCATCCATTTTACTGACGTAGATACCTGTCTCTACCCGAAACGGATTAGCTCCATTGATCACCACCTCTCACTAGAACTACGAGAATTCCCTCACAAACCTAGTCATTAGTGAATGAGCACTATTGGGGAGAACAAAAACAGTCATCCAATGCTTGAAGGTATTCAATGATGAGCTAACATCAATCATTTCATGATTTTAATCAAAAACTTCATAATCTTCACAACCCCTATACTGATAACCATTGAAATGACCTCATATCAATGTATAATTTTTAGTACAAAACTATAAAATGATAATCATAATACTAACTCTCATATTCTCTTTTTGCTAGGGAATAAAAAATGGGAAATATGAAATTCTCATTATTATATATATATATATATATCTATGTACTTAGATTAGAACTTATAATGGTGATTTATATGATATGTTACTTGAAAGAACGGGGTCATACTAAAGTAGTATTACTCTTATTATTATTACTATTACCATTACTATTACTATTACTATTATTATTCCTATTTTACATTCATATCCCTATGTTTTGTACAAGTGTATATTGAAGGTAAGTGTATCATTCTTCAATATTCTATATACATATATGAATAGTTATGTATTTAAAACGGGTATCATTACATCATCCCTTTCTTTTTGTTAACTTGGCAACAAACCATACGAATAATAATAATAATAATAAGTAATATCTAATCAATAATCAATATTGTAAGAAAAGGTTACTAGTAATGTAATTATTATCATCATCTTTTTTCCCTGTAATATTTTCTTTCTCTAAGTTTTTCTCTCTTTTTCTTTCTTTTTTTGTTTTTGTTTTGGCATTCTGTATATTTCAGATGATGGAAAAGAGTAGAAAAAAATGTAATTGAATTAATAGACAAAATGTTTAGATTATTCTTTATCTTCTTTTTCTTTTTTCTCTTTTTCTTCTTTTTCTATCTCTCTTTTTCTTCTTTTTATTTTTCTCTTCTTCTTCTTATTATTATTACTACCGTTTTCTATGTGGGTTTTATCTATCCTTTGCTTGCCATATTACAAACACTCTATAATAGACTTGGCAAGAAATGAGTATCCTATTCGTATATACATACACATATTATATTTATAAAACTATTTCATAAATTATAGTTTTTATTTTTGTGATAATCTAATGAGTAAGAAAATTGTATTGTTGATGATATTTCGTCACTTAAACCACGTTACTTCTTCAGACACGTTCAGATTTATTATGATTGTAATTAAGTTACAGCCCTGAAGGTCTTGGTACGGCCGAGAGTGGGGAGAGTCCGCTCCCTCTCTCGAAATGCTCTCACATGGCCACGCGTATACAGCCTCTGACAGAGAAGCTCTACTCATTGCCTTCTCGTGGCGGGGGTGTTGTTTACAAAAATGAGAAGACGAAAAGTGAATGTCCGGTGCTTTAACCGGATTCCAAACCGATGGTGCACATGAGCTCCAGTATCCTGAGAGAACAAATGGCGTATGAACCAATTGTTGGTCACCGGATACCATGGGACTGCATCTCCTGACGATGCCCCACTGCGTTGTGGATCAGACCTTCAGGTCGAAGGTTCGGGGTGTGGCCTCCTAAGAAAACCACCTGCTACGGTCTGGGCACCTGGACGGTATCACGGCCCTCATACATATCAAATGAGATCTATGTGGTGCATATGTATTTGATGCCTCCTTGTACCGATATCCATGTGTTAAAATAAATAAAAAAAACAATGCAGTGAACAAGAACACGAGCGGGAACAATCGGATTGTGTATATTTATATTCCTCTTATTAAAAGCTTGATTTTGACATATAGATTATTCTTGTACAATTTACTATTCTTAAGGTATGTTCAGTTAATTGATTACAGTCTCCCACGTTCACAGTCACTTTATGGCTTTATTGTGTATGAATGTTATTTCCTATTTTATGGTGCGTTGCGGTTTGTTTGGTTGATATATAAACCCAGTATGTCTGAAATAAATGATTCGCATAGTGGAAGCTGTTATTAGCATTCTGGATTCAACTGGACGTGCTAGGTGAGCAAGGGACCAATAGGACGATAGGCTGATGAAACCGGACGAACGTTATTAATTTAGTACAGTACAAGAGTGAATAAGTCGTATTTTGATTGGCGACTAAATTATGTAATAACTAGCGGGTCATAAAGTCACAACACGAATGTACTTGAATGTACAGAATATCTCACTAGAATCTGAGAACCATAAAGTAAATAGTTAATTTGTAATATATCAATTAAGTGTCTCAAACTTTACTATTCTCCTTTGAAAATCTCAGTCAATTGTCTCAGATTTCACTGTTCGTGCATTTTAATAACCATTACTTCCCTTTTCGATCTTCTACTGAAATACATTCTATTTCTGACTATCGTTATATACTAATTATGTGGATATAAGTAGCTCACGTCACAATTATATTAAAAATATTCTATGTATTGTTTCTTTTGTACTAATTCAACTTGTGTTTATTTAATGTTCGATTATTTACTTGTTTACTCTGAAGAAGTGGGTTATATGAAGTTACGAAACATCATCAAAAATACAATGTTTCTACTCATTAAGATATAACAAAATCATCTATTGATTACTAACTTTGTCACCCAATACTCAAGTCAAACTTTGACTTTGATACCGATAGTGTTTTTTGTGTTAAATATAAATTAATTGGAATATGGAATAAAGTTCCTTCTGCCTATTCATTTGATTATGAATGAATTGAATAACGAAATTTATATAAATATCATATTTGAACAATCAGTTGAATAGAACTCATCATTGGACATCAATTTCCTTGATTATGAAAAAGCATTTGACAGTATGGATAGGAGAACATTATGCGAACTTCCTCGACACTAAGGAGTGCCTGAGAAAATAGTCAACATCATCTGGAATTCATATTGATGTACTACACTGAAAAGTGGTGCATGGAGGACAACTGACAGACTCGTTTCAAGTGAGGACCGGTTTCAGACAAGGATGCTTACTCTCACCACTTCTCTTTCTTCCAGTGACTGATTGAATTATGAAGACCTCCATATGTGAGGCGAAGCACAAAATACAGTTGATAGTTTGGATGCGGCTAGACGATGATCTAGCTCTTTTATCTCATATACATTAAAAAATGCAAACGAAGACAACCAGTGTAGCAGCAGTAATAGACTTCGACCTACACAAGGGAAAAACCGAAATCCCGAAATACAACACAGCCTGCACCAACCAAATTACACTTAGTAGTGGAGCTCTAAGAGAGGTGAGAAGTATTACGTACCTGGATAGCACCATTGATAACCAAGGAGGATTTGATGTAGATGAGAAGGTACAAATTTTTTAGAGAAAGGGAAGAATTCCTATCATTCAAGAACATGTGGAACTCAAAACAACTGTCAGCCAGCAACAAAGTCACAATTTTCAATACAAACATCGAAACAGATCTAATGTATGGAGTTCAAATTCGGAGAACTACTTTAACGATCATCACTAAGGTACAGGTATTTATAAACAATTATCTACACATGATATTGAATGTTCGTTGGCCGGATTCTATTCTCAACAGCCTAATGTGGAAGTGAACAAACCAACTTCCAACTGAGGCCGAAATCAGGAAGAGACGTTGGAAGTGGATAGGACATATATTGAGGAAATCACCAAACTGCATCACGAGGTAAGCGCTAACTTGGAATTCTAAAGGGAAACAGAATAGAGGAAGGCCACACTGCGTCGAGAATTGAAAGCAGACATAGAAAGGATAGATAGCAACTGGAAAGAACTAGAAAGGATTGAATTAGAGAATCCTGGTGTTCGGCCTATTCTCCTCCACCAGGGATGACAGGCTTAAGTAAGTAATACTTGGCACGCGAACGCTTAAACTTTAGACCATTGAGTCGATATCCGATGATGTTAATGTCTAACTTCAACTAATCCACAAAAATGAGTGACACATCCACTATTGTCTTCAGTGAGTTACTATCTTACAGCAGACACGATTGAACTCCACTGACCACTACTTCTCACTAGAATTCCAGGAAATACCGCTTGAAACCAGTCACTAGTGAGCATATGTTGATTCATATTAGAAGGGGCTGACTCATGATCGCAACTATTGTAATTCTGAAATAAGCAATCTAACGCTAATGTAGAAAGACTTCACGTTTATTTATATTCCTCTATACTGAATAGCTGCTTTTTTAACAATACAGCATTCTAGACATATCAACAGTGTGCATACAGTTTCGAAGATTCAATCCACCTTGATTTTAATATAAGAATTTGAAAAAAGTGGTTACTTAATACACTTGGTGTTGTTTTACTTGTATCTTCCCATTTTTATTTAAGACTACAATTGATCAGTGTCATGTTGACATATTTGCATTCTGTGCAGATTGCTTTGATACAGCCTTAAGTAACAGGTTTTTTAAACAAAGATGAATAAAGGCTAACAGTGAAATCCAGGATGAAACGCACGTCGTGGAATTCACTGCTAAACACTATCCGTCTTTGCTTTAAATGTGGTTACTAAATGGTGTTATAATTTGTCTCAGGTTAGTATGAACATAAATATAATGTGTGATGACAATCATTATCCTGTTAGCGTTCAATCAAAGTACAATCTTTAGCAGTTTTCGAATATTTTTACGTTCATTCAATGGCTAAATGGCACATATAAGAGTTTGATTTTCACTGAAGATTCGATTGTATCCATCGAAAGTCATCTATGTATATCTTCTATGAACATGACACTGTGGTGTATTTAAACTTGGTTGATGAAAAACTTAGAAAAACTGAAAGTCAAAGCTTGATGAAATCAATTCCATCGTAAAAACTATACTCTTAGAATGCGCAACTAGTTAGTTCATGTTAGTTATTAGATATATTGAAGATTAGAAAGTGAATTCGCTACACATTCACGGATACATACACTATCTCAATATCATTATTAGTAGCTATTTTAATCATACAGGTATCCAAAATAAGAAATATCGGAGTGAATAGTTGATCATCAATCGACTTAACAGTTACAAGTTCATCATTAATGTATGACAGTGATCTGAAAATAAGTCAAATACAAGTGAATCAAACAATGTTATATGTTAAAATGGTGAATTAGTTGTAACTTAGATACTTCCAAAATATATCAGATACAAAATGTACATATGTACACATGATTTGTGTATGCGCTGTGATACTGCTAAGGTAACCAAACCGAACCACGTGGTTTTCTTAGGGGGTCACACCACGAGCCTTCAACCTGAAGATCTAATCCATAAGGCAGTGGAGCGACGTAGAGAGATGCAGTCCCATGATAGACGGTCACCAACATTAGGTCCATACTCCATTTGTTCCTTCAGGATCCTGGAGCTCATGTGCACCATTATTTTAGAATCAGGGTTTTCCAAGTAACTTCCCTAGGTGGACACTCCGTGTCCGCCAACCCGGTTAAAGCACCGGACATTCACTTTCCATCCTCTCAATTTCGTAAACAACAGCGCCTACACGAGAAGGCAGTGAATAGGACTTCCTTGGTAGTGACTGTATACGCGTTGCCATGTGGGAATATTTCGAAAGAGTGAGCTAACACTCCCCACCCTCAACTTAACTGTTGCATTTGGGTGCCAGAATCAAAGTGTTATAACCAACTAAACAATCTATAGGTATATAATTCAAAATTCAAATAACTCATCATATACACATATATACATATTTTTAAACTAACCATCAACTTCAGAATGATCAATTTGTAATTGTGGTTTATTCATTTCTATTGGATTTTCATAAGGTTCATTTTCTTTGTTACCATAGTAACTATTTTTGTAATATTGAACAGATTTTGCAAAATGTACATTTGAATTAGCTGTTTCATCGAAAAAAGAAATAGAAAAGAATAACGAAAAACAAAATCGGGAGTATAATATGAGAAGTGATTTTCTTAATTAGACTAAATGAGGTCAAGTTTAGATGAATTAGATAAAATTTCCGAGTTACAATAGAATTCCAACTGTCGTGTTTGCTACTGATGTCAACAGATATAAGTAGTATGCATCATCAATGAGAAACTGAAATGCCTGATGGCAGAAGGTGAAGAAAATCGGAGAGAAGAGCACGAGAACAGAGAGTGATTGATGTGGGAAAGAAGGAATAATGAATCCTGAGACAAATGGTTAACATTTTGTAAAAGAAGTATTTACGGTGAGACTCTAATTTATGGACGAGTCAATCAGAGGTGTTCTAAAGATTTCAAGATTACGGCGCCAACTTCAGTGCTTAACGCTAACGTACAATCGGTTCACAGGGAATTTCGTACAAAACGTGATAATTGAGCGGCTATAACAAATAAAACGGTGAGACTATAATTTGTCAACCAATCAATCCAGATAATAGATCTCGGATTTTAACGCGAAAGCCTTTCATCCATTTGGTTAAATAGATTTCAGGCATTATAGCTGATGTCAGTTCCTGATGAAGTTCCATCACAACGGTTTGTATATTTCCCTTCACTTCTATCTTTTAGAGATACCAGTAGGATATACAATATAGTTCATACATCAAATATTATAGAAGCAAGAATGATTGTTAACAGTCGTGGATATTCATCCATGAATAGAAGCTAATTATCATTGTTGAATAACGTTTTCTACAAATTAAATACTAATGAAATAAGAATTTTGTTACGATTTTGTATATTTTGTACTGTAAACTCTTTTGGAGAGACTATAATTTATGGATGAGCCAAGAAGAAGCATTTGAGGGAATTCAAGATCATAGCTATAATTTCAGTATCTGATGCGTACGTACGATCGGTTCACAGAGGATAACTGAGGGACCACAACAAATGGGACTACTAAGAAGTTCCTTTATTTGTGATTGTAATCACATGACTTGTGCAGATTACGTTGTGATGTTATCTTTCGATGTAATATGTGCCGGAGAATGAAGTCTGCTAGAATAGGTTGTTTTTCGCTCGATTCAGATTGAGACTGAGGCAAATTGAGAACTGGATAATAAAAGCACCTATAACATTGGCTGCAGCCAGGTAATACAATATATACGGATGATTAGGGAGCGTACAGATGCAGATTGTGTGCATCACATCGGTGTCTGCAAGTGGCATTTTGTGGACCCGATAACCGGAGTGCACGCAAACAATATCTAAGCTATGTGATCGGGGCTGAAAGAGTTTTTGCGACCTTATCATGGCTCAAGAGGCTTACTATTACAGAGCCATGTGGATGATTTTCTCCACCGTATGCGCTCCGATTTTAGAACCTCCGAACCTTTTTCTAACCCTGAGGAGCTTTTGAACCATGTAAAAGAAGTGGTTTTTTATTATATGTCATTACTCTATACTAACTGTTCTCTGATTGGCTAATATTTCTTAAGGTCACTTAAGGTTCGTTCAAAGATCGTCCCAAAATTATAGTCTTGTTATTATTTAATCAAACACGCTAACCGTAGACGATTAAAACTTGGACGAAATGATCAAACGGATAAACAGTTCATAATCCCATATTTTATAAGGTGAAAACATTCATACACATACATGTAGGACGAAACAGGCCTCCTGGATTCTACTGCTAGCCACCATCCATTTTTGCTTATAAAGGTTGTAAATTAAGCCAATATGTAGGCAATCAACATAGGATACACATATGTCAACAAGAGAGTGATCAGTTTCAGTCCTAAACAATAATCCGAAGATATAAGCAAACAATACCAACTGAATTTAAACTTCACTCCATTACACAAGCACGTGGTTAGTAGGACTCAAAAACTAAGTGGATAGCGCGATGGTAATCGAAGTGAACGGTACTGGGTTCGAGTCCTGGAGTGAACATCAACTCTAGGATACAGATACATCCAGCTGACGAGTCCTAAGTAAGAAGAAATGTGCGTTCTGGTTTCCACCACTAGCCACCACCCATCTTTGCTTATAATGAAATCTTGTGTTAAGTCGTTTTCTTATTTGTTCTTAATACACGATCATGTGTGAATTTGTGTTCTAACTAATCCGTTATGTCAGACTATATAGCAGTTGGTGAATAGAAAATATAGACAGAGGACATCACATTTACAATATATGCAACAGTGAAAACAGTATATCCATCCATATATTTGAAAGCTACTTAGATACTGACTTACGCCTGTTACTCCTCATGGAGGAGCATAGGCCACCTACCAACACACTGCATCCAACCCTATTCTGGGCACTCGTTTCCAGCTCTTATTCATCCTTTTCACATCTGATTCCCTTTCCCGACGTAATGTGTTCTTTGGCCTTCCACTTTTCCACTTTTCAGTTGGAAGTTGGTTTTTTCTCTCCCACAGTAGGCTGTTGCTGATAGTATCCGGCCAACGGATATTGAGTACGTTGAGTAGACAACTATTTATAAATACTTGTATCTTCTTCAAGACGATTGTAGTAGTTCTCCATGTTTCAGCTCGATACTTTGATGTTGGTTGAAAGTTGTTGTTGACAGTGCCATCTGTTCTTCAATGCCAATCCTCGCATTTATGTCTGCATCCGATCCTCCTAGTTCATCGATGATTCTGTCCAGGTATGTGAAAGATTCTACATCTCCCAGAGTTTCGCCATCAAGTGTAATTGGATTGGTGTTCTCCATGTTGTATTTGAGGATCATGAGTTTTCCTTTGTGTATGTCGAAGCCTACTGGTGCAGAGGCTGATGCTACACTAGTTGTCTATTTGAAAGCTAACTTACAACTATTTACAATTATTTAGCACTACACGGTCTGCTTAGTAATGGATTTAGTGAGGTTATACTAACTGTGGGTTGTTGACTAGAAAAATTACTTACATTACATATTGGCCATTAACTTATACTAAGTATGAGAAATAATGTTACTAGCCGTTTGGCCAAGGTGAAATAAGTGGAGAGGAGTTTAAATCTAAGACTTTACGGCTGAAATCAAAAGCCTTAACCATTAGATCATAACTTCATCATGTACAATAATAAATACATCTTTGAAAGCTGTAATTTTACAATACCTTGCATGAGAACTAGACAAACCAGGCTTTTTAAAATCTGATAAGCATAATCCTGTGAAGTAATCACACAGGTATCAAGAACTCTGATGAATCAGATTAGAAATATTAGAAATAGCTACAAACCTTTATGTTTTACACAAGTCCGTCTGTTTACACGAGTCCGAAATAGGACGAAATGCATGCTCTGGATTCCATTGCTAGTCAATATCCATCTTTACTTATAATTGCATACATTGTTTCAAGATTATAAAAGACTATTCGATGAAAGTTATCAGTCAAGATATCATTCATATAATAAGTTTATAAAATAACAAATATAAGAGTAGCCTTACTGAAAACGATGCGATTTCAAACATTCAGTTCAGGCTAAATCTTTACTATTTTTCAACATAAATATTAACTTCAATTTGAAATGGATTAGATTATCCCCTTGTTGATATTCCACCCTCACATTGATCATTTCTAGTTGGCTTATATGCATCCTATGAGGATTGTGGCACAAGTTAGTATAGAACAGATGGAATATGTTTAATAGTGGAATCCAAGATGCTGCTTCGTTTTATTTAGGATTCATCAGTCGAACATAGATACATCAGTAATCAAGTGTATAATGCGATGATGTTTGAAACAAATGGTACTGGCTTCGAGTTCCCGGGTGTAATGAAAAATCTAAGATGTAGTTAACTCGAGCCGATGAGTCTCAAATGGAACAAAAGAAGCATCCTAGATTCCAATCCTAGCCAGATTTCATCTATTCTCTAAATATCTACCCTAAGCTTAAGTACAGTATAAGGATCTAGATATTTTAAACACTACTTAAATATGAATAATGTAAATATCAAAAAAATATTTACTCACGTTCTTCCATTTGCATGATACATTTTTTATGATCCGGTGTACTTTGATAACCTAATTCACATTGACATTCATAATCACCATTTGACAAAGCAATACAATAACCATTTGGACAAATACTTGGTCCTAATTCTTCACATTTACCTATAAATGAATATGCAAAAAACAAATGGATATACACTTAATAAAATGAAATGTACTAGATTCAGTTATCTGTATGAACATTAACACTGGGATGCAAGTACATTTGCCCTTCAAGTCTTATGTTCCACTGTCAATTATAATCCAACTGTTCAAAAACTCATCAAAACAACTAGTGTATATATGTAAGGACGACCCACGAGTGAATTCGAGAAAACTCTAAGAGGTTCATAAAGAGCCGAAGATATTCCACTCAATCATCTTTTGAAAGGATATTCCAGAATTTCTACGTGTAGCTTCCCTATTGGACAAGTGCTAATAACCCCTCGTATGCGAATTGGATGACAATAATGATGATTTCGTTTTTACTAAAAAAAACTATAAATACCTGGACGTTTTGTACCACATTTGATGGTGTTTAAAATAGTAATCCTTTCACTTGTCTTCTGTCTTTTACTTATTGAAAGCAAGACTGAAATGTTTTAAACTTTTTCCACTAACTTATCGTGTGTTACGAGATAATCTGATACTCACCAAGTGTATACAGAAAGATGATTTTGTTATTATCAGAATGGGATTTGTGGTGATTGTGGTAAATTCAACAATGGAATTCATAAATCAATCAAAACTAGACTACCATTAAAAACCTGGAATCACTGGACAGCCGTTTTGTCCTTGTGTAGGACTCCACAGCGGTGTGCATCCACGATTCTGTACGCGAGATTCAAACCCAAAGCCTTCGGTCACGCTCACTACCGCTTAATCTCTAGACTACTAAGCCGGTATCCAACGGTGTCCAATGCTTTTATGTTTTCAATGGTGGTCTACCTTAGATGGGCTCATGAATTCAATTACTAAGATTTTGTTATTCGTATTTCATCTGAAAGGATAGTCTTCGAAAAATCATAAATCATTCGTAAATCTTCTATCCTAAACGTTTTGTTCCCTAAAGCATTTCAACTGAAACATTTGACATCAGAATACATCTGCATAGTGCTTTAACTTGAGATAACTAACCTAGTTTAGTTGGGTTTCCTATCTTGACTAATAAAGATAGAAGTCTGAATCATTTAACAAGAGACATGTCTATTGATAATCAGTATTTATAACTAAAAATCAAACAAATATATCGTATTCCTTAAGTTTATTATTTTATTTATTTAAACACATAAACGATGGTACATAGGGGTATTAAAAAGATATGCGCCACACAGCAACAATGAAGCCAGTAGTAGCTATTAATGATTTCTGTGACGGCTATGATACTGACCGAGTGCCATAACCGAAGCAGCTGGTTTTCTTAGAAGACCACAGCCCGAGCCTAAGTCTAATCCACAAGACAGTGAAGCAACGTAAGGAGACGCAGTCTCATGATGGTCGGTGACCAACAGTTGGTACACACGCTATTTTTTCCTTTAAGATTGTAAAGCTCATGTGCACCATTGGTTTAGAAATAGGGATTTCCAACTCCCCTATCTGGATCCTCCATACCCGCTAACCCCGTTAAAGCATCGGACATTCGCTTGTCGTCCTCTCAATTCCGTAAACAACAGTAATGTCAGGAGAATTCAGTGAGTAAGACTTCCCTGACAGTGGCTGTATACACGCGGCCATGTGAGAGCATTCGGAGACGGAGAGCTAACTCTCTTCACTCTAGGCTGTACCAGGACATTTGGGAACTGTATTCTTTACATACTAAATAGTTTCCACAGGATTTCATTTTGTAATATGGAGTGTATGTTAGTAGTATATATTGAGTATAACTTGAATGATCTAAACGTTCACTACTCATTCCAGTAACAATTGTTGACATTGTATAGAGGGACAATAATCATTTTCAATTAAACTATTTACATATAATTATAAATTATTTAGATCTTATAAATCAACTTACTCATACATCTTCTACGATCATAGGATAAAGTGAAACCGGGATTACATTCACAAAAGAAATCACGACCAGCTGGTATACAATGTCCATTAGTACATAAATATCCTCGATGAACAGAACAAATATCAACTTTATCTATTAAAAAAACATTAAAAATCATTGAATAAAGATTTGATTTCAGAAAGGGCTTTGTGAAGATTGTAGTAATTTCAATAGTTGAGGTCATGAGTCAATTGAAGCCAGAACACTATACGAAACCGGAAAGCACTGGATGGCGGTTTCGTCCTATTATGGGACTCCTCTGTAGTGCGCATCCACGTGCCCGCTTCACGAGCTTCGAACCCAGGACCTATCAGTCTCACGCGCGGGCGCCTAACCATCAGACCACTGAGCTGATAGGCATCCAATGGTGTTAATATCTAACTTCAATTTATCCACAATATTGAGCGATACATCCACTATTGTCTTCAGTAAGTTACTATTATATCATAATAGACCTGGTTAAACTCCACTGGTTACTGTTTCTCATTAAAACTGTATGAAATACGTCTTGGAGACCGTCACTAGTGACTGTATATTGATTCATATCAGACAGAAGGGTTTTTTAGTGAATATCATCATAATTTCAATGATTCACTTGATATTGTTTTGCTTGAATCTTCCCATTGATTTTTAAGACTGCAACTGATCAGTCCCAGAGTGAATATCAACTCTGAGATGCAGGTACATCCAGCTGACGAGTCCCAAACGGGACGAAACGCGCGTCCTGGATTCCACTGCTAGCCATTATCCATCTTTGCTTAGAACCACCAGTGTTTCTAAGTTTTCCATGTTGGTTATTACATAATCTTAGTTGAAATAATCATTCCTTAAATCTATTCATTATTGATTATTTTTCCTTTATTTACACAAATATAGAACAGATGTTCAACATGAATATGATTCTTTATCCAACAGACTATCATTAAACTTAACTAAATAATCATGATTATTAATATCGTTGTCATTTTTCTTTTTCTTTTTTTCTTTCCTTTTCTTTTTCTTTACTTTAATGATAACTAGTTTATTATTTCATTGGAAATAAGAGAAAATATGTGTGAAATAGATTTCAATGTTTCACCTACACATGGTAACTATATCATCAATAAGATAGCAACAATAACAACAACAACAACGAGAACAACAGCAACAGGAAAATTATTTTTGTTACTAAGACGAAAAAAAAATTTATTTGTAGTTGATTAGTTTTTTCTTTTTTCTTGGACTGAAACTGTTTTGTTTTTGTTTAACATCTGATAAGGTAATCAGTGTCCAAAAATTGTAATAATTAACAATTACTGTCTAATAGATATACCTCTTCATCATTATTTTACAACAACAAGAAAAAAAAGAAACCAACAATATTGTATAGAATTCATTGGTATTAGTTGGTTTTAAATCTTATTGACATATAAATGGTGTATTCTGTGCGGATTGCTTCGAGTTACAGAGTTGGATGATGAACGATAATGGGATGAAGATCTGAAGTGAACATGAACTCTGTGCTACAGGTATATCTAGCTGACGAGTCTCAAATGAGACGAAACACGTATCTTGAATAGCACTGTTAGCCACCGGCCATTTCAATGTGTTAAACATTGTCTTACCATTGAATAGACTTTTGAATAATAAGTATACACTTTGTAAGGTTGATGAATAGGAAAAGTCATTATTAAAGACTAGTTAAATAACTTACATTGACATGTTTTACGATCTTCTGACGGTTCAAAACCTTCATTACATATACATTCATATGTATTCCCACGTGGTATACATTGACCATTTTTACATACAGATGATTTATATAATTGACATATATCAAAATGAAATTCTTTATCTTCTATGCCTGAATATATAAAAATAAAGAGAAGGAATTCAGAAGAAAATAGCGTCTATGATCTAGGACACTAACATTGGACACGTTATTGAATATCATGATTCTTAAGCGTGATGAAATAAGTCACACAAGTAGTAGTATTAAATCTAGCGTTGAATTATAGATATAATGGTGGCTGATGAGCCTCAGCTAAGAAGTACTCATCCCAAACCTTACTAACCAACAACTATCCAAAATATGGTCAATTTATTATTGAAGATCAAGTTGAATTATCTGCTAAAATTGGTTACATGCCATTAAGAGCTGACTTAATATGTTATTTTGAAAAAAACTACCAGACTAATATTGATTATGAATGATAACTCAATCTTATTCAGATCACGAACCGATCAAGGTTAGGGAATCATTAAAAAACTTGGGAGCACTAGACAGCCGTTCCGTCTTAGTATAAGACTGCTCAGCATTATACATCTATAATCACACAATCTTCAGTATATCGAACTGACTAGGGTTAAACACATGCACCACTGGGTTCTGGCATAGTGATCTAGCGGTTAAGAGTTTGTGGACAAAGTTGAAGGTTGCAGATTCAAGATATGGTTGTATATTCGTGGATATGCACGTGGATATGCGACTATTAGTCACAACTGGCGACCTATCAAGCACAGATCCTTAGAACGTGGAATAATTTCAATTTCAAAACCTTTATATTTCACAAAGATGACATCTTGTCACTTTGTTAGTGTTAGTTTAGATTCTCAGTTTCAGTCGATCTGTACTACAGTTCGCATGTTATCCATCTTGAATGATTATGAAATCGATTAAACCCTATACATACAAAAACTAAACACATAATAATCCTTATAACTTTAATTGATTTTGGTGTGAATTTACCCCTAAATGCTTTAGTACGGCCGATATCTAGAAAGTCCGCTCTTCCTCTTGAAATGCTCTCATATGAACACGTTTATACAACCACTGTCAGGGAAGTCTTACTCACAGAATTCTCGTGATGGCACCGTTGTTCACGAACCTGAGAGGACAAAGTCCGGATGTTCAGTGCTTTAACCAGGTTGGTTGATATGGAGGATCCACCTTGCGGAGGTACTTGTAAAACCCTGATTACAAAATAATGGTGAGCATCAGCTCCAAGATCCTGGAGGAACAAATGGTGTATGAACCAATCGTTGGTCGCCAACTACCATGGGACTGCGTCTCCTAACTTTGCTCTACTGCTCTGTGGATTAGACCTACATATCGAAGGCTCCGAGTGTGGCGTCCTAAGAAAACCACGTGGTTCGGTTTGGGCACCCAGATAGTATCACAGCTTACACACAAATCAAATGACTTGTGTGACGTATATGTATTCGATGCCTCTCTTTACCAATATTTATGTATTTAAATTCATAATAAACACATACACATTTAAACAAGTCCTCATTGTAATATTTGAATCAATTTATCTTCTTCTTATTAATAATTTTAGGGATTCTATTCCTTATTTATCTGTTTATAGACTTGGTCAATCAGTTGGTTGTTATAATAGTCAACTCAGTGACTAATTGAATTCACTTGATGCTGTTTCACATGTATCTTCTCATTGTTATTTAGGACTGCAATTGATCAATCCCATGTTGTTATATGTGGATCATGTGCGAATTGCCTCGATATGGCCTTAAGTCACAATCTTTTTTAAGCAAAGATGGATAGTGGTTAGAAGTGGCATCAACATCAACTCTACGATGCAGATACATCCAGCTGATGAGTCCCAAATAGGACGAAACGCACGTCCTGGATTCCACTACTAGCCACTATCCATCTTTGCTTAAAAATTGACTAATTGAATTTAAACACTTGAATCTAGATATTTGTTTTAATATTGTTATAAATCTTTAGTAAAAATGAAGTGAATTATTTTTCCATTATTACAATTTGTAGATATGTTTTGTAGTTTATGAAATATCTTGCTCATTAATGAACTTTGGCTGTGATAAGTCAACACAATTGAACTCTAGATTTAGTTTCCTAAGCTCATTTAGTAAATTTCAGGTTAAATCTACACAGCAACATGAATATGAGTATAAAGGCAAGAAATCTGGAAGAAACGCTACACTCCAAAGATTCGTTTATGTATAAAAGATCTAGAGTATTTATAACATTTTAGATAGGTCATAGGCTTTTGGAAAATTCTGGAATGCTACTAAACATAATAGAAATAGAAATAATCATCCAATCATAAATGTGACATGTGACTTCTCACTTTCTAGATGTTTTTGGCATAATTTGAATATTAATTAGCTAAGATGGTTCCCACCGTTTTCAGAGTCTTCTTTCTGGCATGTCACATTTCTGATTAGATGATTAGTTATACTGATATTATGTTTAGTAGCAATCCAGAATTTTACGAAAGTCCATGACTTATCTAAAATGCTATAAATATTCTAGATCTTTAATACATAAACGAATCTTTGGTGTGTAGCGTTTCTTCCATATTTCTCGCCTTTTTTCTCATGTTCAAGTCACTGTATAGATTTAACTTTTGAGTGGGGTATTTGAAGAGCTTAGGAGATGAATTTAGCGTTCCTGTCTTGTATCCATTAACTTGTATATATTAGGAAAATAATGCATAGAAAGTTTTTTATGACAATCATTATCTACCACTATTCTAACCAGTACGTATCCATGATCTGACCTCGCGAGATTCGAACCTAGGAACTAACGGTCTTACACGTGAACGCTTAACTGTCAGATCACTGAGCATTTACCAGTAGTTTACCGATAGTATCTCTTTTTATTATTGTCAGATTTACATTTGATAGGTGATTTCGACTGTTATCCTCTTTCCAATCCAAAAATTTACTTTTTTTGTTATAAACATTCAGAAATATTTCATGAATACTTCAAGAGTATTTACATGTTCTTGATACCTATTAACAAGATCTTTAGTAGGTCAGTTTGGCCAGATTTTAGATAGACCAGTATATATATAAGACACTCGTGAGCTACTAGTATTTGACCACAGATGCCTTAGAAGTATTGCTGGCGTCTGCTGGGATCACTGGGTAAGTAATAGTGGGGTTAGACGCAGGGTATTAGACAATGGTGGTTAATCAGTTGATGAGGTTGTAAATCTCCATCGACTGAGATGGTTGGAGCATGTGTTACGTATGCCTGAACACCGATTACCACGACGTGCAATGCTAACTGGTGTTGAAGATGGTTGGAAGAAAGTTAGGGGTGGCCAAACCAAAAAGTGGCATCAGTCCTTGAAGTCACTAACTTCTAGTCTGAGCCATGTTGATAAATGCAGGCTACTTGGTTGGGGTCCGCGTGACTATGGTAACCAATATTTGGAGACTCTGGGTAACATCACTCAGAATCGACCACATTGGCGTCGGTGTATACACTCTCTGTCTTCCCTCAAACCATGAGGTTGAAATCGCTCCATATTTTTCTTTCTACCAACTAAATATTTCTTCCCGTGCTATATCTTTATACATAATCTTTATTTTATATATTACTACCACTGAATTAACTACTTGTATGAATTCGGTGTTCATCTTGTTGTGCTAATGTGGTATGGCAACTTCGACCGACGCACATATATGCCTGGTCCTACGTTGTAGCTGACTGACTGACTGATATTTCCAAATAGATAGAAATAATTATATTTTATAAATGAGACATAACAACAAATTCTATTGATGAGACTATAAGTTATGGACGAATCAATCAGGTATAAGATAGCAGATTATTGATTTTGGCGTGAAATTCACTCATCCAATTTGATTAAATAAAGTTTTGGCATTATAGCTGATATCAGTTCATGATGAAAACTTTAACCATCAAGTGTAAATCATCATTCTAATTCCTCATACACTGGTTTATAACCTTCATTTGATTTTAGTTATTAGGTGAACTGTTAGGTCCAGAGAAACGTAATGAATGGTAACTTTTGGGATCTATTGATAGACCATTATTAAACGTATATTTCTATTGTATAATTAGTAAGTAAATAAACCATGCATATTCATATTCCTCTTATTATAAGCTTTATTTTGATCTATGAACCATTATTATACGATTTACCATTCTTGAGTTATATCCAGTATATTAATTACTACCTCCCTCATTCACAGCCACATCTGGCTAATTGTTGTACAAATGTTGTTTCATATTTTATTGGTACGTTGTGGTCTGTTTGATTGATATATAAACCGAGTATGTTTGAAATGCCTGATTCGTATCGCAGAGGCTGAGGTTAACGTTGTGGACTTAACTGGCTGGGCCGGGCGGGAAGCAGGGTTAATCAAGACTCTAGACTGCTCGTACATGTTTTACGCATTATTGATCCGATCGATAAATCATTGCTCTCTAATTGGTGGTCACAAGTTATAACATGAACACTGTTAAGATCAGTTTAGCGTTGCTCAAAGGCAGTCCATAAATTATAATCTCACTGATTGTTTATTTCAATCATTCATACACTATTCATGATGTAAATATGGAAGAAGAAAACCTTTTATGGTTAATTATTCAATTCTAATTATTCTTAATATCTTTTCATTTCTATTATCATAATTATATATTCTTTCCTATGGGATATTTGAAATGTCAAGTATCCAATGTAATTAGTTAACCCATTATAATATACGTTTAATTCTGTGAATGGAATCCGTATCAGCTGACTATTGGAATAGGGTCTATCCTATTGAACTATTAAGATGAATATCATTTAATGATGATATTAAACCCATTATAAAACTAATGATATAAACAAACAGTAATGATATTCATAGTGATAATAATGTTATGTATAGTATAATAGAAAGGTAATTATGATTAATGTATCTAACTTCGATTACTTATCATAGGAGAAGTTGTTAATGACCTTTCTTATTGGATTCGAATTATGATTCAAGAGGTTTTATCAAATTTCTTTTAGATTATCTAATAGTGTTTTTAAAATATGAACTGATTGGAGGTTGTCTGTAAGAAACTATGCAATC